TTTTAAGAGGACAAGAGCGGCGAGGTCTATCGCGATAGCTTAATTTCTCTATCGAGTAAAAGTTATATCGCGATACATATCGTTATCGTTCTATCGCCCAGCTCTACTGGAAACCCTTTGAAGGCTAGGAAAAAAATATGTATTCATTCACTGGTTGACGAGCGGTTGTTGGAGGTTGCTGACTGCACCCTCATTATTCTTTTGTTTGCTAGCCGACTATCATGGTCGCCAAAAGCTCACATGGAAGATATCAAGTTGTCCGCAAACACTCGATTGTGCAACGCAAGTTAGAAACAGAACATTCACCTTCAAAGTAAAAGCAGTGCTTTATTGCAACTCCAACGTGTTTCAAAAGACACAACCTTTAGTTTGAAGATGAATGTTTTGTTTACAGTTCGCACAGCTTCTTTAACACACAGCTTGTACATCAAGTGTATTTGCAGACAAGTTGTTGTCTTCCATATTAACTACAAGCAAACGCAGCAGTCTGCTAAGACATGACTGATGTAAAGACCAGGTTACAGATGTGTTCACGCACACTGGAGATGTGTGAGTTAATCCTATTATAGTATTTACAAGCCCATTTGAAGGTTGTCTAGAGGACTTGATTTCACATGAGTAGTTGCCTGGGGGTCTACGTATAGCGGAAGTACAGGCCCTCTACGACTCAATTCAAAATGCCAACATTGATGCTAAGGGCAATTTCCCTCCACGAGTTGTTGCACGTGTGACCGTCTTTGCATTATTTTAAAGGGGAATTGTACAGATGTGGGTACCATGGATGGATAAATTGGTTCTTAACAAAATGGATAAATTTAGTGTTCATTCTGCCCTGGTCGCCTTGCGATGCTGTGATTGCCCAACTGTTTTTGACGATTTGCTAATCACCAGACACAGTCAGGCATGTAGACAGCCGCACAGACCCTCAACTCTCACTCACAGTGTGACAATGAAACGTCACGAGGACCTGAGCGAACCCTGAGACTATAATTAAGGCTTTAGTGTCTAAAGTTCAAAGGTTTTCAGGGCAGCACTGAATACCTTTTTGTGACCAATTCCATATAGCCACTACTAGTAACTTCCTGCAACCACTTGACAGCTGGTCAGGGAATGCACATTTTCCCTAGCAACAGGGGATAACCAGTGGGTCGCTGACAGCAGGTTGCTAACTGGTCATTAGGGCTGTGTGACTACAGCCAATAATACCAATAATGGTTTAAAAGCATAGATACAAAAAGCAACAAAAATTGGGACAACTTCAGTCAGTTCAACGGCTCTGCAATGGTCGTCTTTCATTGAACTGTAAACCTAAAAAAGCCCTAGCCTACAACTCAAAAATACAAATAAAAAAATCAGCTCCTGCATATATAGCAACACTACTGAGACCTTATAACAGCTGTCAACCTCTTCGATAATCTGATCAGGGTCTTTTAACAGTTCCCCGCCCTCATTTTAAATCTCAAGGTGATCATACTTTTGAGGCTGTAGCTCCTAAATTCTGGACCAGTGTAGTTTAAACGACTGTTAGTGTTTTCTTAAATGTTCACTCATGTTTCATTATGCGTTTATTGGACTTGTGTGTATGTAGGACTGAATGTACGCCAATGTTGGCATGTTTGACGCTTATCTTTAATGTGTGATTTTATCCAAACTTTGAAGCACTTTGTAACTGTGTGCTTAAAAAGGGCTATAAGAATAAAGTAATTTTTAAAAAATTAATATTTCCTTGAAGAAAGAAAGAAGTTAAGAAGATACAAGAGCATATAACATACCAGCATAAATCAGTTTCTGTCCGGCAACTGAAAAGATTTCCTTCCCCTTTTCCTGCTCAATCCTCTCTTTCAATGTCCTCACCTGTGAAATAAACATATGCACTTTTACTTCATATTTTTATCCCTTACCAACAAAACCATTAAGATGTTTTACTGGCACCATTTTGTCCAGCCCTGCAACGCTAACAGGAGTAAAAGTCCAAAGTGTGACCCAACTGTGTCAGCTGTGTCATCGGTGATTATGCAAAACCATACATTTAAAAGCAGTGCAACTATAATCTGGCGACTAATATGCATACAAGCACGTCGAAAGTAAAAGTAAAGTGTCTGCAATAAAGTTAATCATATTATAATGAGATGTAATGAGATGTGCTGTAGCCAGCCGGCCTTCAGTAGCCGACGGTTAAAGCTAACGCTAGCTCAAAGATTTATATCTTTGCCCAAAGACAAAAGGGAGTTTATACAAGCTTAATAACAAGTACAACATGTTTTAATTACTTTAAATAACGCTACTTTCTCTAAATGGCACAAATGTTTTCTTGTTTTACCTTAACCCAAATGTTCCAATTACAATAAGTTTTACAAGCTAACATAAAAAGACTGAGAAACACTAAAATGGTAAGGTTCAAGCTAACCTGTCAACCCCACCCCGCCCCCCGTAACACTCACATTTGGAGCCTTAAGTGGGCTACGGCTAAATGCTGAAAACAAAAACAATTTCCTGATTGGTTTTTAAAAATAATGCGAATCTGCATTAAGCCGAACTTCTAATGCACGTCAGACGCATCCAAAAAGAATCTTACGTTATAACCCAGACTTGCCTATAAAACGCCAAAACTGGAAATGGTCAAAACAAATCATGTCGATTTCAGGACATACTCAACTCCCATTCCACTCCCCTGTCACAAAATGCATGATTATTAACTCTCACCGTCTCCTCTTCATCGATGTCGATTTTGAAAGTCTGCTGCTGTAAGGTCTTCAAAGTTATTAGCATTTTGTCGGTGGAGTTTTATTATTCCTGCGTCCGGTTTAAACGCTTTAAATCCAACTTGCACGAGTCTTTACTGTTTTCGTTAAATCATCGTAAACTGTCAGCCGCCATGACGTATCGCTTTTCTTCTTCTATGTTAAATACTTGACGGACAGCGCTCCTGCTGGATTGCTTCGGTACTGCAGTAAACTGAGCATTGGTCACAATGCTCAGGTGTGCTCGTTGATGAGTTTTCCAACACGCTTGATTCCAATGAAGTATTACAATGCAGAAACACTGTGAGCTGATTAACTGAAGGCACACAAGTATAATCGGCAAAATGACGCAGAAAAACTTAAGTAAGCCAAGAGTCTTGTGGATTATAATTTCAATAACATGCAAAAACATATTTTATAAGCTGATGTTTTATGGCTATTTATAATACCTGCAAATCCAGCATTAACTGGAGATGAATGTGAATGAACAGAAAACAGAAATTCTCCAGTACAGTTAAGCACATTACTTAAGAACATTTTTACTGCTCATCATTCATTTTGTTTCATGTGATGCATAAGGGCATACACATAAAAAGCTACTCCCCCAGCTACTAGTCCCCAGGTGAGCTTGCAAACTTTCCTTTCTTTTACACTCATTTATTTGTAATACAGTACAGGGTAAGGTACTGCGCAAAAGTCCAGAGTCACCTGTCATTAGTTTATATTTTGCTTCGAAAGAGCCAGACTTTCTTGTACTTTTTCAAAGTGGTCTTGAGCAGGTCTTGGCTTTCTGAAGGTCATTTAAAGTTTTTCTTTGGACAATGGCTGCTTTTTCACTCATGTTCAGTCCTTTTACGTGACCATTTTCAGGGAAATGTTTGCTTGTTTGTTTCTTGAACCACTTAACTTACGTATGACTCACTAACCACAATAAAACACCTAACTCGAGCGATGAACACAGTGTCTTTCTACACATAACAGACATCTTGGCAAATTGTATTAAATTGTATCTTTAGGCACTTTATTACTAGCAGCCTGTCACAAAAGCACATCATTTGTTCCCATTTCTTTAGTTGAATCTACAAAAAATGCCAAAGATAACACAGTTTGAAAGGCATGAAATAATATTTCTGTACCAATGAGATGAGTCCCAAAGATCTATGAGCTGAAAACTTGGCATATCTCAGCATGCTGTGCACTGTGTCCTTAAAGATTTTGATGAAACTAGACAAGTGGAGGAAGAAAAAACAAACATACCCCCCCCCCACACACACACACACACATCAGCAGATGAACAGTATCTGAAAGTCATGTTCCTAAGAAATAGGAAGTAAAAATCATAGGTCTGACACAGGTCTGATAGTTGTTGATCCATCTACTGCTCACTGAAGCCTCATCAGGAAAGAGGGAGAAAAGACTGGACCGAACTGAAAATCAGCTGCAACAGAATATAGGAGAGAGTATCTACAACCATCTGTCAAAATTGATGAATTGAATGTGAACACAGATAAGCACCACCAGATTTTGATCCACTGTGCAATACCATCTGGAAAGCATTCATTCAGCAGGCTTCATTTTTCAGCATGACTATGATCAAAGAAGAGCTTTGAGTGTCCTTCAAGAAGCCGGGAGAGCGATTCCTGAAGGCTACTTCAAGAAAGCCTGCCTAAGTTCTGGCTTTGTTGAAGAAAAAAACAGTCATACCAAATATTGACTTTCAAGGTTTTATTTTACAAACTCAGTTTTCGTCTCATATACTTTACTGCTGGTTATGTCTGCATATGTTTCAACAAATTGCTGCATTTATTTCCCATTTTCCTTGTAAAATATGAATGTAAATGAGGGATAGTTCAATAGACACAAAAACAATTTTCAGTGCAATAGTGTTAACAGCTCTTTTTTTCATGGTATGCATTTTGCCTTGTCAACACAGGACAAACACATGAAATTAAAATAGTAACAAACTAAGTAACCAAGTAAGCCATTATAACAAGTCAAAAAGGCCTATATCTTCAATTTAATCCTTCAAAGGTCAGTGTAGCCTGTTGCATACACTCTTATTCTACAGTACTAACCTCTTCAAATTAGATGCAAATTGTTTTCAAAGCAGGGACAGCATCATCTGAGCAGATGCGAAGGCTTGCAGTATGTAACCACTGACATGCAATGCATTACTTGAATGTTTTTGCTGCTTGTTCATTACATTTGTCTCAAGACTGACGTTTTAGGAAAAACTCTCTCTCCTTAGTAAACATGAGCTGGCAGTTTATTCCGTTATCAACCTTTCAACAATCCCAGGTCCTTCTGGCATGCATAGAGGAATTTCAATATCACCCATCCAGCACTCAGCATTCAGAGGTTTTATTGGCTTCTATCGTCCAGCTGCCCAGCCCTGACTTTAAACAGGACTGTTGAGTGCAAAGATGATATGCTGGAGGCCGATGGGGTCTCTTCCCCAGGTCATTTCGTCCTTATTCTTATATCGCTCCCTCTTACCTGCAATGACTGTTTGTATGACTCTGTCTGTCCTTATCTACCACTCCTCTCAACTGCCTTTGTCCTTCTGCCTTCCTTGTATCCTGCCTTCCCCTCCTCTTTCTCTCCACTCAATCCTCTCCCTCTATCATCCAGTTATTACGACGGGGGCAGTGCCCTCGCCTGCCTTGGCAGCAGCGGCCACACAAGAAGCAATAGTGTCCTCCTTTCCCCTCTCCCACTGTGGCTGTGACTCTTGCTCCTGTCTCCAGGGGTCGTCAGTCTGCCGTCAGCCCCCCTCTGAAGTGAAGAGCCACAGAGATTACAGTCTGATCCCTGGTGACTTCAAGATATTTTTAAGAGATGATGTTAGACATGTGAAATCAAGACGTTGCAGGCAGGAGAGGAAATGCGGCAAAATAAAGGCTTTCTGGAGGAAGACGGCGATAATGGAGTAGTCAGAGTGGTGCCTCTTGGTCCAGCGTAATGGTGAGAAAATGAGGAGCTCGTGGAACATGAAAGCATAGCTAAATGTACCTTTGGTGTCGGTGACTTGTGACATCCAGAGCTGCAGCATTTCATGCATGTGCAATAAACAGACACAAGGACTCACACAAGTACACAACAGACACAACTGGTATTTGCAGGAATCTGTGGTTTTGGTCAGCGGAGCTGTTGGAGGGTGTGGAGTGGTGTAGAGACACAGAGAGAGAGAGAGAGAGAGAGAAGGGTGGAACACAGACTGAAGGCCACTGAGATGCCTTCTCAGCCCAAAGCTATTTCCTGTGAAAAAGGTGTAGGCACTGTTATTGGCTGGTACTGGGGAGATGTGTTACACTGGAAATCCAAAACATTGCTGAGTACATTGCTCTAAAGTTAAGTGCCAACCATTAAAGTTTTACAAAGTACAGAATATAACTGGAATCATAATTCACCAGATGTGTGAACAAAGAATCCAAACACAGTCTTCCATCTGAGCAAGTGAAATGTCTACTGCTGGTGGTTTCCGGATCTGGGTGGTGGCTGGTACCGTCAGATAAAGCCAACACGCAGTGTAAGCTAAAATGCACACAGTGATGATGCTGACATAGCCACTGCATTTTTTTAAACAATCTTCACTATTTCAGTGCAGCATGTACTGTAGTTGTGCCAAGTTTTGCTAATTATCCCTAAGCACACAGCCGGGGCTGATGGCAGCATGCAGCCTATTACAATAAATCCTGTGCAAAAAATAAAATAAGGAGGAAAAGAATGCTCTGACTAGATCAGCAACACCAAAAAGGGCTGGAAAAGCACAGGAGACAAGTGAAGTGGGATGATCGCAGAATTCTCTCTTTGGTTAACTAAAAAGACTTCATGAAACCAAGATGGACATGCCCTTGAATGATGGGAAGAGGAAAAGTATGGAGGAAGAGTGAAATGCTTATGGTCCAAAGCATATTACATTATCTGTCAAACATGTTGGAGGCAATATTGTGGCATAGGCACTCTGGCAGCCAACAAAAGTGGGTCACTTGTGTTTACTAATGATGTGAAAGCTGATAGAAACAGCAAGATGAACTCTGAAGTGTACAGGGCTAGGCTCTGCTAGGTTCAAATGAATGCTGCAAAACTGATCAGACAAAACTTCACAGTGTAAGCGAAGGATGACCCAAGGCAAGCTGCAAAAGCAACCCGAGAGTTTCCCAAGGCAAAGAAATGGGATATTCTTCAATGGCTGAGTCAGTCACCTGATCTCAACCCAACAGAGCAGCTTTTTAGTTTCTGGAGACAACGATTGCAGGATGTCCCACATACAAGCAGCAACTTCAGGGATTTTGGTGTCCATAGGTTCTAGAATTCAGGCAGGTTGAGAATCCTTAGACTGCAAAGGATTCTCAACCAAGTAATAAATATTCAGATTGTTTTTGGAGCTTTTTGTTTTTTCCAATTACTTTTGAGCATCTGAAAATGGGGGACTGTATAAATGATAATAACAGTTAATGAAAAACCTTCGTAAAACCTTCCCATGAATTAAAGCTGAAGGTCTGCACTTCAGTCACTTTAACACCTTTAAATCAAAATAGTTGAAGGAGACTGTATTAGGGAAACAAAATTTTCTTTGTAGTTCCTTTGGATTCACTTAATCCCTATTGTCCATTTGCATACTTACTTTAAACTTTAATAAAGAAAGCACAATTCTCTGATTTAAATAGCTCCAAAAAACATTATCAAACATATCAAGTCAAATGTACAAAACGAATAAAGTTGTTTTTAGTTCAAGTTCCACAGCTCTGTATTTTAACTAAACCTTTGTGCTAAGCAAGGAAAATTGGAAAAAAATAGAAAAAACCCAACAATTAACTGTTATCTGATAACTTTATTATCAAGTTAAAAAAAGACAATGAATTACAATATTTACAGAATATCCAGAGATAAATGGAATAAAATTGTAAACAATCATTCTAGGCAACATCACAACCCACCATCAGGTAATCAGATTTATATGGGGAAAGGCAAGAAGGAGAGATTCTAGTGTCAAACTATGGAGACAACAGTCTGAAAGGAGAAATGCATTGGAAACAAACTAAACATATATACAAGTATCCAGTGTGTTGTCAGCAGGGGCGTAACTTTGGGTAAACTGGGAACATTACAGTCTAGAGACTGCACACAGTGAGGGATTCATAGTCCTTCTCTATTAAAATGATCACAGAACAACAAACAATTTTGGGTCGACAGCTTCATCACCCACATTGTCCCAGATTATCATCTGGTTTAACCCTGGGATTTCAAGCTGGGTAACAAGCTGCCTTACAAAGCTTATTTCTACAACAACTATTTTCAAAGAGTTTTGCTTTCAAGAAAAAAGGATACAAGCTGGTTCAGTAAAACAGAAAAAAAGGGCTTTGAGATTCAGCACCAACTCAACTGGTTTGAGGGTATTAGAAGGACCGGGGAGTCCGACTCTCAGAGTGCCACCTATGGTACTGTTGAGTGGGTAGACGATGGAAGGGTACACTTGGAGAACATGAGCTGGTGCCCCTACTTGCCATGGACAGAAGATAACGGTGTGTCACATTTGGGCTTGGACAAGAATAAGCTAAATCTTAGAGCAGGTCAAGAGGCTCACTAGGAACTGGAATCCAGATGTTGATGATGGTCAAGCCCAGAAATAGAACAGTTTAGGTAAATGCTCCCAAAGCAAACTATTCTTTACTTGTCTCTTCCTCAACAGTAAAAGCCCTGGCCATCAATCAGTAGAGAATTGCATTAATTTCCTTTATGTTTACTATTGTACAACCACACTGTGCTTCCTATCTGCTCATTCCCATTACGATACAAAATAGGGATGCATTTCCATTGGAACCAGACATTGCACAACAGGATAATAATGTTGGATTGGGGACTCAAAGCCCCCCAAGGGTTAGCTATGATCTTTAGATTTATTTTTTTCCCTTTAAAAAAAAAAAAAAAAAAGAGTCAACACTTAAAAGAAAAAAAAAAGGGTTAAGTTATCCTTTCTGAAACACCACAGTTCAAAACACTTAACGAGTAGTTTTGTTGTCTATACATGGCTGCAAACATGTACTTCGTCCAAGTTCAACCCATAGAACAAGTCTATGGTTCAAACCCAGATTTGCCATTTCCATCAACAGTTCAATGCTTATGAAAGCCGATTCCAGCAGCAAACACATCAGGCGTGGTAAATATTTTGGTACCAAGAACACATTGCTTTATTACGTGTTCCTCTTAACATTGGAGTTATTAGCCATTCTTTTTTCCCCTCTCCAGACTGTTTAATTGTTCTTGCTGGTCTTATTGGAGTTGGATGCAAATTTGACTTCATTGCTATTCACTTCTCATAAGGCTTATGGGCATTCAAGCAGCAGCTTCCAACAAATACAATCTCTGCCTTTTGTCAATATTAACAATTATATAACAGCTTTGTCTAACAAGAAGCACACAAATGCAGACTATGACAGGTGCGTCAAAACATAAAAAAAAAAAATTCCAGAGGTCTTTAAGATCAGGGAATTTGAGACCTTTAAAAACAGTGAATCTTTAACATTGTCTCATATTTTTCCTATAGATTTTTCCTATACACGTAGAAACAAATGTTTTCAGAGCTTCCTGCTCAGGTTACACTTGTCTTTTCATTGTATTTTTTTAAAACTGGGCCGCAGACTATAGCAAAACAGGGCCATTCCCTTAGCCTCAGCCATGTGTTTCTGAAGAGACATTTCAAAGCCTATGTTTGAATGCTCAACGCAAGCACATACAAATACAGTAGAGCAACCTTTCCATAACCTAATCAACAGAGGTGACAGTGAAAGGTCCAGACATTTTTCAAAGAAACAAAGAAGGCTGCAAACATACTCAGTTTAGCCCGGGATATCATTTGTGGTGCGAAAACATGAAACAAACACTCAAAAATAATCAAAAGCAGCTTTTCCTTCTATATACACACCATCCTCTTTATCGAACTCTCAATAATGTGAGCATAACTAATTAAATCCCATGTGCTTACAGTGGATCGGGGAGGTCAAAAGAAATAAAATGCACTATATAGTTGAGTGACTAAAACTATATCTGGCGGATTAGATTAGAATAGAGTTTTTTTGGTAATCTGGTTACGCTAAAAGTCTCAATATCTTTGCGCTACATGATAAATCACATTTTACTTTTCTGGTACTTGCTCTGTGCAATTACAATAAAGATAAATTTAACTCGATCTGATCTGATCTTAATTATTGCCAATAAGGCACACATTGGAATAGATTCATATAGAGCAAATTCTTGCGGAAAAACACACAACTTTAACTTGAAATTTTAGAGGGACGTTTGGTGTTTTCCTTATTACTGTTAAAGCAATCAAAAGCCATATAGCGGCCGTAAGGGGAGCTGCATTTTAAGGCACTTGTGCACTGGTTTTGAAACACAGCTGTGGTGGGTTGACACTTGGCGTGGTCCGATCCCCCGTGCACAGTGTAATCCAGTGAACCAGACCACTCCAATACGGTTAGAACCTCCTGATCTCGGCGGAGGCGTGGACTCTTACTCCTCCGCAGAGGACGAGGAGAGAGCGGGATTTCAGGCACACCTGATTACACATTTTGCATTGAAAAGACAAGTGTAATCTTTGTCTCTCAGAAAAGTTGCCATTGATCGTAAAACTGGTAGTTGCAATCCAGGCTAATCCTTAACGGACACAGGTAAGGTCATGACACATTAAACAAATCACTAGGTCAATCCATGTTAAAGTCACTTCCACCTCACAATCAGCCTTTTTTGGTATAATAACTTCAGTATATTCAATGAAGCAATGCAAAATCGTGGTGAATGACAAATGGAGTGGTACTTATACATTGCTTTTCTTTTTTACCTTCATGCTATGGAAATCAATTTAAGTAATAATGATAACTTTATTCTTCTGTAAAGATCCTTCTGTCCCTTACAGGTTATGGGGGTTGAAAAAGGCAAGAATATGAAATAGAAAGTGGCAATAGCAACCATCGTGTACTTGGGGAGGCTGTAACTCGGAAGAATTTCAAAGTATGAAGGTAAAATGTTCCACGGTTTCATTTAATATTCTAAAATTATTGGACCAAAAAACAATAAATCAGCTGGCTGTGGAGAGGCGTTGTGGGATCTGCTGAGGGCAAAGGAAAACCCGGACTACACTCAACATAATATCTTACAGGAGATTAAAGCCGATCCCATTATTTCTATGATTTTCACAGTGAATTTCTGGACAATAAAAACCCCCCCCAAAAAAAACAAAAGGAGTAGAAGTAAAATGCAAAGGGTGCCACAGGCCAAAGATTTATACATAGTATAATACTAAAGGGACCAAAAATTATAGCAATTCCGATCAAACGTTGGGGCAATTTGCAGAGGGAGAGAACAAGATTTGTGATTTTACTCAAATACATAAGGTGCCACTATTTCTCCAAAAATACTTCCACACACTTCACTAAAAAAAAAAAAAAAAACCTCTGAAATTTTGATAAAATATAAGAAAAGCTTGGTCTACAGTGGGTCACAGCTGTAAATGCTTTCACGCCTTTTTGTTTTAGGTAAAATTTCAGTACCACTGTGTTGAATCAGCAGGGGAGGAGTGTGAAAGGTGCTTCAAATAATAAAATGCTAAAATTTAGTTTCTCGTTTTGGACAACATTCTCTATAAATAGTGGAGTTTATCTAGGTGGGAACTTTTACTGTGGATTTGACCAGAATGTCAGCAATAAAGAGTTCTGTTCACTATTGGTTACCAATATATTAAAATCTGTCCAAGGGGACCGCCCATTTAAAGAGCTTAGCCGTTTTATGCAGCACAACCTAATACTTATATATGTAACATCTAAAATCTAATAATGCACCAACTCATAAAAACTCTTTTTTTTTTTTTTTTTTTAATGTTTCGACCTTTTGTTTCCTTTGACATCTTATTTACTGATCCCACTACTCGGCGCTGATCCTACCCAATCTTATCACTTTCTAGCACAGCATCTCAAGAGGCCACAATCGCTTCAGCCGAACTGTTGATCCTTTTTGGTGTCAAGCTTTTCTTTGTCTTCCACATACTGGCTTTGACTTGCCAAAGATAGATCAGTGGGGTTCCCGTCCTCTTTTCTGTTACTGGACAGGTCCAGTCTTGTGTCTGCAAACACAGAGGAGCTGGTGGAAGATGAAGCTGAGGCCTCTATTGCTGAAGTGGTGCTGGTGTCCAGTCGACTGTTGTTAACCATCCTAAAGCCAGAGGAACAATGCACAGAAAAACATCAATGAGTGTGTGAGTTTGCAAAAAATACAGCAATTAAACAAAGTGGTGTGCACCGACAATGACACTAGCAGCAAAAGTGGTAACATATCTCAGTTACACTACAGTCATATTATGGAAAACAGTAGTTTGTGACTGTGGCACAACCAAAATTATTGCGACTGTTTGCAAGGAACTTTGAAATGACTCAAAAGACAAGGCCCCCGTTTGTGACCACTTGCAGTCAGTTGTTGTATTTATAACAATTTTAGTGCATCTAGGTGGTGGTAAACATTCAGACTCCAGCCAGAACACCATAGATTTGACAGATTTGATAATAGAAAATTCAGAGATTCCTCTGCAAATGAGTCTTGATTCCAGTAAGGAAATCCTAGGAAGTTGATTCTGTTCATCTGGAGCCAGAGATTGGTTTTTGATCAGTTATTATACAAATTGTCATGACCATTGAACAATGACCATCTGTCTGATTCACAGAGAGTTGGGGAACGGTCATGAAACTGATCTTGTGGCTCAGTGTTAAGCAGTAGTGCTGGTTTCAGTCGTTATGCAAAAGTACTGTTTGTAAGTTTGGAGAAACTTGCAGTCAACTGAGACTGAAGATGTCACTTGGATAAGTAATGAAAATCTTCTCCCACTGAAAACACTCTATATGAACAGAATTGGCTTCTTGCATTTAGTTACATTCAGATATAGCTTCACAAATAGTGACATAGTTGCTGCAAGAAAGCAATTTAACTGCAGACTGAAATAGGTACTAAGCAACTTTTGTCATACAGTATATGAATATTGGCAAACAGTTCATGAGTTGAATTCTGTGCAGATGAACTCAGATTGATTGCAATTTGTAGGCAATATTTCTGCATTCATAAGTTAGATGGCAATTATTTGCAAACAAGACAGGTTGCCTCCCATCCCATCGGTGCAACTGCCTTGAAATCGAAAGTCAGTCTCCACAAACGCATGCAACTGCTCTCCAAGAACAAAAACAATTCAAAGCAATTGCTGGGCAGCTACAGATGTAAGATGAAGAGCTCCAGCAGAACACAGGCAGCCATTTGTTGAGACAGGTTTGAGTTGACCTTAAGTAACATTAACGCTTGAATGCAAACATCTTTGAAAAGGATGCACCTGGTGCTTTACCAAAGTCACGTTTCTCCACAGCTGCACACCAAAGACAAAATCTGGAAAAACCTCATTTTCATCAATTCATGTCAACCATGTCAACAAACATCTTAACGCTCGAATGATTTGTCAACTTTTTCCTTAGGTTTTGTATCAGCACAACCTTTCATCAGTTGAACTGAATGCAGATTTCTTTTTGTACATAAATGACAGCAGAGAAATGGCTAAAAAGGGCCACAGAGGGCATTTAAAAGTAGGCTGGAAGAGCTGACTGGGTAGGGAAAGTATGCAGGCTCACACACAAAGAGACAGTTACGAAGAAGAGAGAGAGGAAAAAAAAAATAGACTTACATGCCATGTCGAAGGACATGTCGTTCCCATTCGAGGCTGTTTGTGAAGCAGCGGCCGCAGAACTCGCATGGAATACGCTTCTCTGCACTGCTTGGCCCAGAGCTGTTGCTGCTGCTGTTGCTGATGGGAGATGCAAGGACTTCTGGGAAATAGAGTTTCAGAATACAGCAAATTCACACATGTTTAAAAACAAGCCTCCACATCCCCATTCCTACAGATTGATCAGATTTTTTTTCCATACTTAATGTACTTTTTGCAGACATACCAATATAGTTAAGTACAGCAAAATAGAAGCTAAAATGATAAAATAAGAAAATCAGCTCAGAATGACAATCTGGTTTCTGAAAGCTGGGCTACAAATAAAGAACATAAACATGAATAATTGACAAAGAGATAAATGTTATGGAATTGAGATAAATCATACTTCCAGAATATTGTTGCATGTCCTACTTATGGGCATATTTACTGAGATCAAAGAGCGACACAGGAGATAATGTATAGCACAAACATAGGTCAGCTATACTTCACATAATCCCTTGCACTGTGGTCCCCAGTAATCTTCGTCAAAGAGTCCATTCCGCTTTTATAGTCTAGTATGTTTGTTTTTTAAAGTCATAATATAGAGTTTTGGATTTGACAGGCCGGTCGTAAAATAACAGTTTTTTGGATATGACGTTACCTTGAGGGGCAGGCTTCCCTTCCCCCACTTCCTGGACTTCCTCTTCGTCCTCCTCATCCTCCACTTCTTCTACTTCTTCCACCTCATCGTCTTCGTCTTTGACGTTTTCCTCCATCTCTTCATCGTCCATCTCTGTCTGGCCCTCCACCATGTTCTCAATGATTTCCATTCCCACATCATTATCGTCATTCTCCTCCTCCGCTTCCTCCTCTTCCTCCTCCAGAGCCACTTTTCCATCTGACACCATCTCCATAGTTTCTCTCTCCTCCTCCTCCTCCTCCTCCTCCTCCTCCTCAGCACTGCTGCCTTGATCCTTTATCATGTCCAGCTGGTCCAGGTTGACCCGGCCCATCAGTTCAAAGTTGCGGATTACCTAATCGGACACAGGAGATGTGTGTTTTTCAGGTTAGTGTGGTGTTCGTCAGCCAGGGTTTATTTCAAGGAGCTCCCCCTGCTTGCTCCCCAAAATCAGAGTTGAAACTTTCCAGGCTTTGACAACATCAGAATGTGCATGTTTGGCCTTCTTTGTTTGTTTGATTTTAAGCAGGAAAATGAAAACCTGTTAGAAATTCCAGATCTGGGTTGAGACCACAAAGCTAACTGTTTCTGCTTGGATTTGGTTTTTGATGCAATTTTTCCTCCAGCAACTATGTTTCTCTGACCTATATTCATTCACTGTAACACAAGTCCACATCCTGCCTGTATGGGATACGACAGTCATGGTGAAAGCGGTATATTTTTAGCACAAGCACAGAAATTCCTGGTATCAGTCAAAGTGAGTTTTGGTGGTTATTTATAGACCAAAGTGCTCAAACAACTGAAATGTCTGGTTTTTGTAAGACCTTAGCAGGTGAACGCCTGTCTTTTTTTAAACAGTCGTAGCTTTTGCTGAACGCTCTACTTCTCAGTCAAAGTTCCGTCTGATTCGCAAGAATTATGCAAGGAGATTTTTGTATCTCTAGTTGACAAACTCAGATAATCTAAAATAGAACATTTAACAAAGGAAGGAAACTTGTTCCAATATCTCATTCATCTTGTCACCTATTATCTCACACTTTCTGAGTAATTTCCTCCTCCCATACTCCCTGAAGACACGGAACAGCAACCCTCCAAACCTCAACTCACATCATCCTTTAGCATGAATAAGCTTTAGCCTGCTGCCTCACCCAGGAAGAAACCTGATCTGTCATGCTTCCTTCTAACAGTCTGAAAGTTTTTCAGAACTACCATTAATCTGAAACAGGAAAAAACAAAACAAAGATGATCTGAAATAGCTCTGAATTCATATAAATTCATAGAAAAACTCAAAACTGACTTTTTATATATAGGTTAAACACACAACAACCAGTGAAGAGGCAGGGGAAAAAAGGTCGTACTGACCTCTTCCATTGTAAATAAAACTACCGCAAACGTCAACCCCAAAAAAGTATTTATAGGCGTCTGATAAAAAGAGCATCGCACGGTTTAATCAAAGAGATATGATTATAAATTATATGTGAAAATCATGGCTCTGAAGCAAGCAAATTGTTTTTCAACTAAAAGCTGGGTTTGACTTTATCCCAACAAGCACTGGGTGAAATCTCAGGTAAAGGTTGAAAAAGAACTTAAGAGGGTGCCCTTTAAAGCTCTTTCCACCTACCATCGCACATCATCTCATCATCTTATCCCTATTAAGAGAGAGTAACAGATGAACTCTTTTTCCTCTCCTGGACTCATTTGTAAGAATATACTGAAACTGTAGCAATATGACACCTACACAATGTATCAATGCACTGCCCTTCTTTAGTTTTGTTACACCTTGATAGATAAAGGGAGACTTTGAAATGGAGCCTATTGATAATATGAGAGCATCTACCGGTACATATTTTTATTCGAATTGCAGACACTCCAATCCTCTAGTTTATGACCAACTAAGGTTTCATGTAAAAATAAATGAATAAAATCGCAGGCGTAACAAATGTCAGCAGAATCACTGAGGCAGTTTTTTTCTACCTTAAAATGAGCAGATTTTAATGTCAAACCCAGAGCAGCCTCTTTACAAATTTTACCCCATGCTGAGCTACTATTTGGAAAAATGTGGCTCTTTTTTTTTTGGTCATTTGATTAGTTATATAAAAAAAAATGCTTAGCAGTGAGTTGCCTGCTCTTAATAAGGTTAACCTACAACACTCAAGTAAACAGTAAAGACTTTCCTATTTATTCCCGGTGCAACTTTTCAAATACCACAAATATATGCTAATGGGGACTGATTATTGTTGTTCCAATTTAAATGTGATTTATCATTACATAGTCAGAGGGAGGGAAAAAAAAAAAAAAGGAGGTATACATCTAGTCTGACTGCCGCGCTCACTGACAGCCTTGAGGTTGTTACTTCTTACCTCTGACGAGGAGGTTATATTTTGTTATTCGCTTGCCTGCGTTCCTGTCATTCTGCCTGTAAACACGATACAGTAGCTCCAACAGTTCTGAATAAATTCTGGTAAAACTGAATGTTAAATATCCATTAAAATCTGGGTTACATACACCGAGGTCAACTTCATTATTGGTTGAACACTCAGAAAAAGCTTTACGACTCAGAAACTCTGATTCTTACAAGTGTGCTGAGTATTGTCAACGTATAGAAAGTACTGTATAAAGATTTAAAACATTGTGTTACATTTGACCTCTGACCTCTCCTTCAAGGTCAAAGGCTTGATCTGAAAGTCAACTTGCTAACAACGTGTCAACAATGCTATATAGAGCTATTTAAACCTGTGTGCAAATATAGGCATAAAGGTAAAGATCTATGGGGATTCTAAATATGACGTAACCTTGACCTCTGACCTCTTCTCGAGGTCAAACTTTCATAAAATGCATTTTTTATTTTTAAAATTGTGCTTATTGCCTTTACTTGTATTGGCAACATTACAAACAAAGGCAATGTATTGGCAATGACACTGGCATTTCATTTTACATTTCCGCCTTTCTTTCAATATGACCCTAAAATACGGGTACATATATAGATACCATTTTTAGAAAGAGAAGGAGCTGCCTAGCTGGTTAGAAATATATACTGTAGCATAATATTATGTAATAAGCTCAATTTATTCATGCCCAGTTATTTACAAATCAATACTTATTACCATTACCTACTCCTACACGTGTTTGTGTAATCAAAGTAAACGTCTGTCAAGTTGCCCTTTTCTGATTTTTACTGCACTACAAACGTCTTAACGTACATTTAAAAAGAACAAAGAAAACAGAATGAGTATATAAAAAATACAACAGTACTCCCTTAAAAGTAAATACTGCCTTGAGCGAGCTGCCTTGGTGGTAGTTTGTGCTCTCGAGAGAGCTTCTTGTTACTTAAAAGTACGTTTGTAAATGTTTTACAAATTACTCGTGCTTTGAAAAAAGAAAAAGACAAAGCAATGCAGTATTTTGCTCATTTCCTCCCTTTAGGAGGTACAGTACTTTTATGCAACACTGCCTGGGGTCCAGAAAACTGCCAACTGTACAGTGTTCCCCTGATCTGTTGCTTTATTGTACTGTAAGTACCATTTCCACTGGATTTTGGTGCGTTAACGTGAAACTCCTTTTCTTGCCAAATAACAATCTGTATTTTAAATGCTTAATGTGTTTTTTTAAACGCTTACATTTTTTAAATGTAATGCTAATATTTAAAAAAATGAATGTGTGTTTGTGTGTAATGTTTTTATAATACTAGATTTTCCGTCTTTACACATTGAGAGCGAGTAAGACTATTCAGTGTTTCAGTGATGAACATCTCACGTTACACCAAGTGAGAAGAGCAATAATTAAATACAAACATGTTTATTAAGACACTCTTACAGTGAAAAGCAAGACTCTCTCGTCTGCCAAACGACACCACGATTCAGAACTACTAGTTTGAATTTACTTGAACACCACACCATTATACGTGAACTCCAACCGACCTTGTGCTCAAGGCGTAGATGGTCCTCTAGCTGGATCCGTCTATTGGTGTCATAATAGCAGAGCTGGCACTGGTAGGGCTTGATCTCAGCGTGCTTTTGCAGGTGCAGCTGCAGGGCCTGGTCACTGGAGCATGTGAAGGTGCATTTGTGACAACGGAAAACCAGGCCCTGAAGGTGACGCGACAGCTTGGAGCGGCTGACCTCCAATGGAGCCACGCGCTCCTCTGGTGGAGTGAGAGGAGAGAGTGACGGGGAGAAAGTAAGGAGGAAATACAGGTAGTGGATGGTAAAAGCTTTCTATCATAAAAAGTACCCGAACACTATAAATGCAGTCGCACTTTCTTTGCTTGCTTTTGTTATCTGTCACTTTAAACGCTTTCATTTACAGAAAGTGATGCTTTAACTATTGAAAAACAAGAAAAACGCTCCACATAACATGTAAAGACCGTTGGTATTGCTTGTGTTACCGTTACTTTTACTGGTGTGTCTTTATTCCTCGTGATAAAAATACATGAAAAACATTCTTGTCAGGAGAAATTTAAATGTTTGCCCTTGTCCATCAAGCCGAGCTCAGCTGCAGTTCCGGCAGATCAGCTGACCACAGTGCTAGCCCACATCAGCTGACGGCTCAGATGAGAAACCTCTATGTATCAGATTGGCAAATCTGACATGGGGCGTGTTTATTTAAGCCGCTTTAGCCTGCCTACAATTCGCTGTGGCTGCAACCCACCTCCACACCAGCTCCTTTCATGTTGGGTCTCTCATCAGTGTCATATCTACAGACGCTAACGCCTGCTCTCCCCTGCACGGGGGATCTGTGCTGTCCTACTCCACAGCCGAGGCATACCGCCAAGTATAAATTACAGCAGATGGAAATAACAATCTTCCTTTGACTGTAGTAGTCCTGACTCAAATATCATTTAACCGTCTCCCTCATGTTGAACACTGCAAATGCCAGCACAGGCAGTATGACGCCGACTTTGAATCTAATGGCGTTTGCTGTAAAAGGAATGTTTTGACATTTTAGAAAATGCACTGTTTTTCAGTCTTGCCGGCAGTTATATAAGATGATTGATATCTCTGATGGCTCATGTCTGTTTACTACACAGAAAGAACAAGAGCTAAAGAACAACTCAAGAGCTAGCAAACATTCACCAAACTGGCCGCAGCACCGACACCAAAGGTCTTCAGATCTCACCACAACACACGCCTTTCCTTTTGTAGCTGGTTTCACTCCTAAATGGTAAGTGCTAGAAAAAAAAACCAATATTCACGCGGACTGACCCTTTGACCCTGAGGTTAATTCTACAACCTGAGCCACAGCATTGAAAACCAGTCTCCCACAGCATGACCCACCAATAAAGTTGACTTGTAAAAAAACAGAAAAACATCCATTTTGAAGGCAGCGTACCTCTGTGCAGAACAATGTGGTCGATCATGTTGCTCTTGCGTTTGGTGTGGTAGAGGCAGAGAGGGCAGCGCAGGTCTTTAGCGAGGTCCTCTGGCATGTTGTTGTAGTGACCCGCCTCTACGTGCATGGTGAAGGTATTCCTGAGGCAGATTAAAAGACAGACAGACCCTGTAAGGTTTTCATATTTGATCCGAGAGCTTTTGTGAATTAAGACGAAAGTGAGATTTTTGTTTTCCTGAAAAAGCTGAATACATTGTAGAATATGTTTTTAAGCAGTAAACTGCACAAAAGCGCCAACTGTGGCAAAAAATGATGGAAATTAAAACTCATATATGCAAATATTTAATTTCTTTAAAAAAAAAAAAAAGTCAGAAACTTCAGTAAACACTCCAGTTTCCAAAAAAAAGTGAATTTTCAGGCAATTATTTGACGGTTCAGACTTTAAGTTAAATGAGCACCTGCAAATGTGCCAATACTAAGTGCAACGTGTGCACATCTTTCTACGTTTCTCTGTTAAATTTTGTTTTTCACTTACTTGTAGCAGGTGAAAAAGGAACAGTCTTTGCACTTGAAGAGCTTCTTGCCACCGTGACGGTCCCTGTAGTGACGCCGTAGACTCTGCATGTATCCGGAGCTGAACTCACAGAACTCGCACGTGAGGATATTCTCAGGACGATTGTCGGCCACCGTTGAGCCACCAGGTGTCGAGCTGGAAGACATTTGACTGCGGGAGGCCAGCTGGTAATGACTGAGCTGCTGACGAACATCCACTGGCTCCAGGTATGACGGATCTGAGGGAGAGGCGGAGGCGTTTAGACAACCTCAGGGTTTAATAAAAGGTGACGCAGTGTGGGGGGAAAAATGTAACGTCTGGCAAGTAAGATCGCTTTTTACACTGATGTTTTATCTTTAGATGTTCTATGTTTTACCATAGGACAGGATTTGTATACAAGGTGGCAGGACTTGATTATTTTCTTCCCTCACCAAGTAACCCCTCCAACCACAACTCATCATCATCATCATCATCATCATCAGTCACCGACTGACTCCAGCGCACGGTGAAGTTGTCGAGCTGATGAATTCTTTTGCACAGCAGGGTGAAGTTTAACCTACTTTATCTACTTGGATCAATTGATCTCCCAGTTTTGTTCAGTTTATGTAAGAAGTCTGATTACATTTCATTAACATTTAATTTTTTTTAGAGTAAACATTACACCAGGGAATTTATTATGAGCGCCATAACTAACACTGGGAAAAGCTTCGATTTGCTCTCGACAGACCCTCAGTTATTTGCAGCACAGATTCCACAAATGCTGGAAACTTTCCTTTGAGATTCTCCTCCACGCCGACATGATTGCTTCGCATAATTCCCGCAGATTTGTCAGCTGCATGCTATGAACCACACTTTACGCCACATCCCAAAGGTGTTAGACTCGGATCTGGTGACTGGGGGGGTGTCACCGAGGAGCACGGTTGTGTCATTTTAATGAAACCAGTGTGCAATCTTTTACTTACTTACTATGCTTAAATGTCGCTATTAGAGGGTTAACTGTATCATAAAGGGATGTGTGAGGTCAGCGACGGTCCTCCGATAGGCTGTAGCATTCAAACAATATCCGACTGCCATCGAGGTGCTCAGTAGTGAACTCTAGAGACTGTGTAAAAATCTCATGAGATCAGCAGCTTCGAAAACACTCAAACCACCAAATCAGCCCGTCTGGAACTGACAATTATGCCACCAACACAAGCTTCTAACGTGTATCAGCAAGATTGTGCTACTACACTGCTGGAAAATAAGTGTCTGTTTAGATACACATACGAAAAGGTACGTGGTCCTAATAAAGTCTTCAGTAAGTGGATAGAAAGAATACATAACGTTGAATAAAAGGGCCATATATGATTCATGCCTCTGTAAAGAAGAGGTGTTCAGATGTGCTTACACCAAATGTCCCTCACACCCCCGCCGAAGTGTAACTGTGACTGTTGTCATTTTGTACCCTGCCTCTTTCCCTCCTCTATAATATCATCGAGCCGGCTCATATTCTCGTCCTAGTTTGAGCCCCCAACACATCAATAAATAAACTACAGTGACACTAACAGAGTATCTCTCCGTGCGAAAAATACCTCCATCAGCACTAAGAGTAGGCGAAAGCAAGCAGGGAATGGGGGGGAAAAAAAAAACTCAACAACTTTTCTTTGAATCTTTGCTGTTACAAAATTCTTGAGATCCATTTTTTGACTTAGGCAGAGGAGACGGAAGAGCTCTATTAAATTAAACAGCGCCACGCTTGATTAATTCCTGTAATATCTTCTCCGCGATGTGGAGGAGGTATGGAGATGAGACTGAAGATGAAGAGCAGATTCTGTAGTTAGGTGGGGACGTCGCTTCTTAAATTGTTCATTAAGGGCTAAAACTATTTATTGTACTGCATTAGAGATGGAATACCTGTGTGGGAAAGTTAAGGGAAAGGAGGAGAAAACCTTACGATAGCGGCTGCCTACACTAACTGCCAAGCTGTCGGCCTCAAATTGGAAAAGCTAACACGGAAGTCATAAAGGAGTTACCTGCAAGCTAACACACATTGTAAGTACAGCTGAAACCTTTAGAAACTCACTCGCTTTGCAGGTATTTGGTCATAAACTAAAGCACAGGAAAAATTTAACCTAATCCTTTGCTTTATAGAGTTCCTAAAGCTATTAATTATTCATCCTGCGGGGATGATGAGCGTGTATAGCAGTTCAGTAGTCACCGAGATATGGTGTGGATCAAACTAATACGCCTGCTCTGCCATTTTGCTAAAAGCGAAGATGAGGCTGGATTTCAAAGACCTTTTGGTTTTATTTTCATAATTCTGCCAGGTACAACTGTTAAGAGGAATTTTCCAAGAAATTCAAGTAAACATTGCCGCTAATAACGGGCGATCAAATGGAAATCTTTTTCAAGACACCCTGCCAACAAGACAAACTCCCTCTGTTTGAATTTCAGACATTCAGCTGAAGGTAGCTAGTTTGGCTCAGTAAAGAGACATTCAATATGTCAGCCCTGCTCTCTCAATGCTTCATTTGTCTTGGTGGGGCACAGCTGACAGTGGTGGATGGTGCATTGAGGAATGCTGCCCCGCTTCAGCTCCAGGGAAGATTCCACAGCTCCAGCAGCAAGGTGACAGCTGCTGCCAAGAACAGTCTGCAAGCTAAAGCAGCCGCTGCAAAGCCACTATAACACCTCAAACATGGGATTACATCAAGGGGTTTACTTCTACACCAGCCTAGAGTCACGGCGCGTCCCCGTCTGAACATATTCTGTGGAAAAACAGTGTCTTACGTAGTCAAATCTAAACAGCCACAGTACTACATTAAAGCATTTCTCCAACACGAATGCATGACTCACGAATACCAGACTCACTTCTACAGATGGCTATGCTTGTTAGGCATCCCCGCTTAATTTTATTAACACTATTCCCCCTCAATGTGACGGCACTTTCCTGCCTGCATATCCAAGCATACATTGAGAATGTCTGATACTTCGGGGATGGGAGGATCGTGACATTCAAGTGACTGAAATGTGTGTTTCGACAGAAGTGATTGGGCGTGAGAGGTTGTTTCCCAATGATACCCCATATAGACACCTGAGATTACCCTGGCAACCAGTTATACAGTTAAATGCATACACCCTCAGTGACAGCTACTTCATGCTGACTCCTATTTGACTATAAAAAAAAAAACCATTACACATGAGCTCCTGCAGTTTTCTATATAACTTCTTTGCAGTGAATTTCATTAAATGTAAGATTCAAAGCTGGAAAATGCTGTAGTCGACTGTGGTGAGCCAGGAGCATGCTGCTTACCAGCACCTATAAATCTCACTAGATAAAATATTATAATTTGTTCCTTTTACCCAGAGACAAACCGAAGAAAACAATGCTTAATGAAGATTACGCATGATCTCATACCATCAGGTGCTATGGGAGTCTGTTCTGGATTACTGGCCGGTCGGGGGGGCCTGAGGGTGGCATGCGCAGCCTGGTTGGCTGCTCGGAGTTTGGGAAGGGTCAAGACTTCACCGTGGTCTCTCAGAGAGTGCTCCTTCAGCTGGCTGATGGTCATAGAAGTGAAGGGGCAGGACAAGCACTTGTATGTGTGCTGCTCACCTGGAAGAATATTGAGGATCATGAGGCGTTGGACTTGATTTTTACATCAACACAGAAGTATTATACATACCAGGCTTGCAAAGACCTGCACATGGTTCTAGATAGCTAATTAGGGAGCATTTGTTAATGAAAGCGGTGATGATAAACACATCCCCGACCACAAACAAAGCCCTTTGAGGAAATCTGGAGCAAATGTAATAACCTATTGGCAACAGGGCTCCTCCTGCGTTACAGCGTTTATTAAAGCTTCTTAAACTTCAAGCAAAAATGCTGAAGCTGGTCCCATATTTTAGACTTGAATTTGATTTGATTGCTATTTGAAAGTTTGAATTTGCACCTGAACGAAGAGCTCATAAAAACTGTAATCCTTGGTTCATTAAAAAGCGTTCAGCGCAGGTTAGTCAGCCAACAAAAAGAGTACTTCATAAAATACAAAAGGTTACAATGAGGTTATCACAGCTTATCTCTCATTTACAAATTGAAGCCCAATACAGTGACCCATTTTATTATTTTATGCTCTATTATAGCATCTAACTGCACACTGGTGCACGCTTTACTTTATAATTTTTGGTTTTGATGTTCTGAATGTTCCCATGGGGATTTCCAGCCTTGTACTTCCTGCTTCTGTTAAATGTATTTGCTTAACATCTTAAAAGGAAGCAGCATCCTGATCCAAATCTAACTCTAACACTGGCTTGCCACACAGCACTGAACTATTTCTAGTAAGAATATCTTCAATATAAATTCCTGGTAGCTTCAATACAAAAGCAGTGTGAATGGAAACATTCAATGCTGATTGTTTTCACAATTCCACTTATTGAATGTAACTAAACATTGGTTTGCCTCAAAGATCTAGAGCGGGGAAGTCAGACTTTGATCTTAACCAGTGAACCTGCTCTTTCTGTCAGTGTAAAGAGGTTTAACTACACTTGCAGCCATAACAAATTAAAGGAATCTTTGGGCTTAAACTGTAAGAAATAAATTGTAAACTATGGACCCACTGTAAAATTTCTGACCTTTACAGATCAGATTGACTTATTACAAACTGAAAAAAAGTTAAATCAGTATACATCCATCCATTCGCGTCCGCTGGAGCCTATCCCAGCTGTCATAGGGCGAGAGGCGGTGTACACCCTGGACAGGTCGCCAGTCTGTCGCAGGGCTAACACACAGAGACCGACAACCATTCGCACTCACATTCACACCGATGGGCAATTTGGATTAACCAATTAACCTATCCCCACTAAGTGCATGTCTTTGGACTGTGGGAGGAAGCCGGAGTACCCGGAGAGAACCCACACAAACACGGGGAGAACATGCAAACTCCACACAGAAAGACCCCGGCCTGATGGTGGAATCGGTATACATTTTTTGATTATTTTGGTGTAGTGTGAATGCATGTGGTGGAGGTCTTTATCATTAGGAAAACCTATAAAAGATATGAAAATACATTTCACATTTTCCAGAGCCTCACAGGATTGGAGTCTTTGCTGGACAGATTCTGGCCCCCGAGCCTTATATTTGACATCCCGGATATAGCACATCTTAGCGATTTTTCTTCAAAGTATTATTCAAATCCTCCGTAGGACTAGCTTATCTGCCTCACCAGTTTCAAGGTTGCTTCATTTTGCTTGTGTTTTGATAGCTCAGGTGGAGATTTTCCACATTTGCATTAACATGAATTCAAATTGCTGTCTGCTGTCTGGCTCCTTCGACAACAAAAATAATCTCATTATGCCACAACGGCCAGTAAACCTTCACTTTTGTAGCATGCCAGGTTCCCCAATGAAGAAAATGTTAATAATAGAATTAAATTAATACATAATATTAAAAATACAAATGCTCACTTGGCCTTTAAGTGTTAAAATAGGAATTCAAACTAAATCCCTGGATTTAGTGAATGGTTAAAATGCTGCTAAGGCTAACCCACTAGTTGAGTTGTGCTCGATAATCACACAGAACATCTTTTTGGAGAAGATAAACAGGAAGTTGGTAGGTATATGGGTCTAGGAATAGCTTGTTAGTCAGAGATACAGCTGTATGTGACAATGTTCTGTGTCTGCTTGTGTTATTTTTTATTTACCTGTGTGTGCCTTATGCAGGTGGCTCTTCAAGCGGCTCACGTAGGCAGATTTAAAGGGGCAGAGCTTACACCTGAAGGGCTTGTGGTGCCCGTGGTGAGACTGCACATGTCGGTCCAGACTGGCAATGAAACAAAATTTTAAAAAAAGAAGTTAAAAACAACAACAACAGCAAAACACAGAAGGGAGGATATGAGATAAGAGGATAAAATGAGAAAAATGGATGAAATGAGGACAAGAGAGAGAGACGGTGACAAGACGGGAGTACGAGAAAGAAAGAGAAAGCAGCTCTACAGCATCCACTTTGATGATTTCAACAGCCGGGGTTTTTTCCCTTCTTCTTTTCAGCGGCGTCTAAAGCGCTCGATTCTGTTTACCTCGCAAACAACAGCCACACATTTCCAATGACTACAGAACAAGGAGCCGTGGGGTGAACTCATCTACCCACAATCCCCTGGTGGGAATGAGTGTGTGAGTGCCTGTGGGGACGGTAGCTGTGTTTTTAATGCCAGCCTCCTAGGTGGCATGGGAATGCGGCTTCTTTCTGGGTCAGGGCACATACAGTACAGAGGGATTACACCTGGGAGCTCAGAGGAGATGAGGACTCTCTTTCCCCTCTCGCTCTGTGTCTCTGTGATGGATAAAACAAATCACGCTACCAAAAAAAAAAAAAAAAAAGTGTCTGCCTCGCTTGTAATGCTTGTCTTTCTCTCCTAGGAGGCAGGAAATCTTGGAGAAGATTGAAGATTCAAAGGGATTGTGATAGGGTAAACAGAATAAGGTGTAAAACTGTGCTCTGTACAAAATGACTTTAACATCTAGTTGATCTAAAGAGCAGCTGGTGTACAGGCTGGTGAGGCGTTTAGCTTAAATATACACCGCTTACTGGGGCTGCAAAGGGTTCAAACCACTCATCCGTTTTTAACTGTAATTTTTAATAGATTAATGTCTGACTCACTGCCTCCTGCCAAGTGACTGCTAACGCAAACTAAACATTTCCAAGTAATGCTGCTTCACAGTCAGAGCATTCAAATACCACAGGGTGCACAATGTGTATCGCTGAGGTTAACACTGATCGCACTTCCTCAAGGCTGCATCTGCTAATCCAGCCACTTAGCCAAACAGCACTAGCAATAGCCAAATAACAGGAAGAAGCTTCTCAGCAAGAAGTAGCTGCAAGTAAGAGCTCCCCATAAAGCTGGACTGACATCTTAAAGAAAATGGTCTTTGCATTCATCCTGCATGCATAGCGATCGTTATGAAACTTCCCCTGCTTAAGGGCTAACATTAAGGCAATTTTTCTAACGACAAGTGGCCATTATCTGTCTAAATACGTGACAATTTGCTTTTCCAGAACCTAATTCTGAACATCGGACACAGGCTTCGTTTTGGTGGCATGCAAGAGACCGTATTTCTTCTTTTACAGAGGGATTGTGGCATGTTTTTAAAATCGATTCACAGATGTGAAAAACTGATCAAAAGCCAGAAAATTCTAATTTTACACATATTTTGAGATTGTAAATGTTTGATAGTCACATACTCCTCTACAAAAAAAGGAAAGAAAAAGAAAACACTAAAATTGGAAAGTTTGGTGTATCCAAGTCACACTAAAGCACTGATTCCTGGATATACTTTTAATTAATTTTATTTATCTAATATCACTCTAATTCATTTTTTCTTCCTGTCCCTTGTGTTGCAGTAACAAGTAAATTCCCCCACTTAAATAAAGTCCATGTCTTAAAAAATCTGCACCTATGTGTATATAAATGCGTATTTGGATTTTCTTTGCACTATTCTAAAAGGAGACAGAAGCAAAACAGCCACTAAATCTTAAAACTTCATCTTAATGAAAAGCAAAAAATCTAAAGAACTGGAAAGTGAGGAAAGATAAAATGTTCAAAGGAGAGTCAACAGATAACACAGCAATATGGTGAATATGTGCTTGCCTCAGCCAAAGTGTCAATTTACTGCGCTCTACTCTTTAAAAACAGTACCACAGTACACACAAGGGACAGCACTGTGGAAGCGGTGTTAAAGGTGTCAGTCACAAACCCCGATCCTCCCCACTTACTTGTGTCTGAAGGGCGAGACAAACTGGCAGTACTGGCAGCTGTATTTGTCTTCTTTGCTGAACAGCGCCATGGCTGAGTGGCTCCTCTCATGGGACCTCAGGCCCTGCATGGACATGAAGACTCGATCGCACTGGGCGCACGGGTGACCCCCTGCTGCCAGCCGCTGCTTCAGCTGGCCCTCTGACACTACGGCCCTGGCTGCGGCCACCAAGGCCGCCGCCCTTCCTTCACCAGCGTCCGTCTCAGGATCCAGGTTCTCCACGGTAACAGCGGCATCATCAGAATCTTTGGGCGTGGCTCCGGGTCTCTCCAGGCCGTCGACTTCGGCAGCTTCATCCCCCTCCATGTTGCCATTAGTTAGGCTCTCGGAAGGTAGGATCAGGGGGACCTCGCTGACTTCCTGCTGCAATGCAAAAAGAGGAAAGGTCTCAGATGTTCAGCAACCTCTCAGTTCATGCTGATTTTTATCTGCCAACACCTTTTTTCATGTGGTTGCTGAATGCTGAAATGAAGAGATCGCTTTAATATAAATATCGCTTCAAGTCTAGCACCTACAGTTATTTTTTACTACATTATCTGCATACAGGCGACAGTTAAGCAGCTGCCTAACACTTCTGCTTCCATCCATGCAGTCACTGTCAGTTAGGCCTCAGTTACAGTTTCTCACACTCTGCCTTTGACCCCCCCTGTTTTTCTTTCCATCTCTCTGTGTTATCTGAAGATCAGCACTTTGGTTAACTTTAACTCAGACATAAAACTCTTCAGTGTGTTGGTTGAGAGAAACCGCACTTGGCTTATATTTAGCAGAATATGACAGAAAAATTCCAGCCCATCCCCTCGCCTCATGCATCAAGTGTGATAACTGTAACCAACCATAAGCATTTATTCGGGGTGACTAATCGAGACAAATTTTTCTAAAAACAAAGATCTTGCAACCGTGCAGTTCTACCAACAATTACTGAAAGGAACTGGAAAAACATTTCTTTCCCCCCCCTCCCTTCATCTGCCAGAGTGCAGGCTGCTTGCAGCAGTCATCGTGAGCAGGCAGACGATCACCATGACTTTTTTATTGCCTCAAGGAAACTCATTCTTTCTGTGGAAGGACCTGACCCTGCACTTTGTGAATCCATAAATAAGATGTGGCATCCACAGCCCCAGCCTTACCATCCAGTCCCTGAATGCACCGTCAGTCTGCTCTTCACGCTCCCCTCTGAGAAACCAGCACTGTTCTCGAATTTAACTCCCATCTTTGAACACTATGACCTCGTTACCAAAACGAATACAGTGCTTTTTCACTGGATCACTCTCGTTGGTGGAAAAAATGGCATCTTAGACACATAAAGAGAGACCGAGTGTCTGATGGAAGATCCAGGCCTCCATTTGGGTGAGGCATTGGGTCCTTAGGCCTGTTCCCCTCACTGGCAGCCTCACTGGAATACTAATGTTCGAATGGTTACCCGCCACTGCCCTAAAAGTTATGGCTCACCACTCCAACCCCCCTGCTTCTCTACAGCAATGGGACAGCACTGCTTGTTTTCTCTCGGGGTAGCTGACAGACTGTCTACCCAGAAGCCTCTGTCAGTAATAAACAAAATGGGAAACAGAACCCCAGTCCAGTAAAACAGATCACTGCAGTGCTAGGAGGATGAGAGATGGAAAATAATACAGAAGCACAGGGGACCGGAAAAAAAATGTGCCTTTGAAATATAGTTAGGAGGATATTACACTGATATCACATTAGCACAGTGGAATAAATTACATGCACTGTATATGTGGTCACGATTTATAAAAGGAAAGGTTTAAAAGAGTCATAACATCACAATAAATATGATGCTGCAGATATTTGATGTTTGGCTCATCATCTCTAACCCCTAAAGCACACTAATGCCCTGCTGCCCAATATGAGAACAATAAGAAGAAGGCAAGATAAATGTATATTCTTAATAGTAAAATAACTTGTTTAATATATTTGACAAACGACTTACTTCTACTGTTGCCACACATTTTAAATAACGACTTATTTTATATAGGATATGGATAGTGAATATACACTATAGTATTTATTTGACGCAAGAAATATAACTATATATTATAAGCACTTTAAGAAGCTTTAAAAGCAGCTTCTCTTACCTTGACATGCCCCTCTTTGACCTCACCATACTGGACATGCTTCCTAAGGTGGTTGCAGATGGCTCGGAGGGTTGGGTGTATCTCTACACAGAAGTTACACCTGAATCCGATGGGAGTTTTATTTACAGGACTCTCCTGTGCACAGAAAAGGAAAGATTTTCTTTTTTAAATGTCCTATTTAATAATATATAACAAAAATACACACACCATTAAAGCACCATAACTACCTAATTTAACATGAGTTGTGTGAATGGTTTCCACAAGCCAACATATCTGCCACAGTCAGACGACGGCATTATTTTAGTCTTGGTTTACAATTTTCACAAGAAAAACTACAGAATATTACCGTTCTATAATTTAACATGAAGTTAATATGAAACTAATTGGCAGATCATCAAATCACCCCATCATGCACAGTTAGCAGCTTGCAAATTGGCTCAATGAGCGAAAGATCTCTGGTTCAATCCTGGAAGGAGACACAAAATAGCATCTTCTAAAAGGTAGCTTCTTCTACAATTACTTTTACCGTTTACTGCCAATGAAGTGCAGGGGCAAAGCCACCCGTTAGCTTTAGCACAATGCCACAAATGGTTGTTTAAAAAAAACAAAACAGGAGGAAGCTTCCATCTTACATGAAGATGAAGAACACAGGTAGAGCATTGGTATGTGACTCTCATGTAAATCACAGTATGCCATCACACACATTAATGGTAGGTAGAGAATTCTATTACGCCTTAATTCTTTCTTTGATGAGATTTCGGGACGACTATGTTTGCTCACCTTCTCCTGTTTGCTCTCAGGCAGCTCTGTGGCTTTCTGCTTGCTGAGGAGCTGCCTCCTTCTCTCGTGCCTCATCGCCTTTTTCTGAAACTCCTCATTGTGCTTCAGGAGATGTTTAGCAAGAGCGGGGAGATATAGGAACTTAAGCTCACAGTGAGAACACCGATATAAATCGGGATCCTCGTCCCAGAGACCAGGAGATACCACAAAGTCCCGCTTCAAGTCGTTGCAGTGGTGGTTGTTGTAGTGCATAGAGAGCAGCTCGCCGGTGCTAAAAGACAACCTGAAGCATTTCAGACACTTGAATGGCAGCCAGTCCACATCTCCATCCTGCTCAGGTTCGAGCGGGACCTCTATCACTTCCTTATCGTCCTCTGCTGATGCACTCGCGGCAGTCTTTTCGGGTTCTTTGGCATAAATGACAGTGAAGTAGCGGCCGAGTTTGCTCGAATGCTGCTTCTTAGGGAAGACACCCGGGTGGCGTTTAATGTAGTGTGAGACAATGCTCTTCCTGCTGAAGGCCTGGAAGGGGCAAAGAGAGCACCTCCGTCTCTCCACAGCTAATCGCAAATCTTCGCTCATTTCTGAATTGTCCCCTTCAGTCGGCGGGGGTGCCATCACTTTGTTCACCTTTTCATTCATAGTCTTCGAAGCAGCCAGACAGTGGGTGTAATAGGCATCGATATCATGCCGCTTCTGGTAGTGTGCTGCCAGGCCTTTGCGTATGGGGTTTGTGTATGAGCACAGAGCACATTTGAAGACGTTATTTTTACCCTCCGGCTGAGCACGGACGTTGTTGTGCTTGATACGGTAGTGGCGAGCGATGCCCTTCCTGGTCGAGCAGAAGTATTTGCAGAGCTGACACTTGAACACAGCGTGTTTTTCTGTCTTATTGATGGGTAACTGAGAGAGGGCAAGGTCCAACTCACTGACCTCCTGGACTTTTGCTGCACTTGATATATGACTTGCGCTGCACTCACCTGCTAGCTCTGTTTCTTTACCAGAAGAAAAATGAGTCAGAGAAGGAGAGAACATGTCGGAAGCAGACTGATTGTGATATTTCTCATAATGGATTTTGAGTTTCTCCAGAGTCCCATGTGTATACGGGCACATTTTGCATCTGTACGCGCCGTAGCCCTGCCTTTGAGTTTTGAACTTGTCGTCCCCTTCGTGCAACTCTGTGATTTGCTCTATGTCGTCTGCAAAGTCTTCCGCTGTGACTTTGACCAACGGGTGTCTTTTCTGATAGTGGGTGAGGACTCCATGGATCCGGGAGTTCACATACGGACAGTGGCGACATTTATACACAGAACTGGGGTTGAGGTCTGCCTCCTGTGCAAAATCTGCAGCTTTCACTTTCATGCCAGGGTGCTTCTTTCCATAGTGGGTGAGGAGGCCATGCAGACTGTTGTACTCTGACAGACATACAGTACACTGATAAGGATTGTTAGAGATGGAAAGGCGTGGGTGGTGAGGCTGGGGATTGCTTTCTTGAGGTGGGGTGGCAATAACCAACGGGCCGTCATCTTCAACAGTCTGGCAATTCAGAGACGTCTGCTCTTTGGAAACCTGCTGTTGGGCTTTTTCAGTTGAGCCGTTTCCTTTGATTATATCCAAAAGCACGGATTCGTCCCCTTTGATAGCCCAGGGGTGGACCGCCTGATAGTGATTGGTGATGTCCCATATTGTGCAAGCCTCAAAGGCACAGTCCCTACACTTGTAATGTTTCGTCTCTGCATTGCCTCCCTGTTGGGTTGTCTCAGGCCCAGCCCACAGCTTGCTGGCCATGTATGTGTAATCAACATTATGCTCAGGGTGGCGTCTTTGGTAATGGAGCAACAGACCCTGGGGTTCAGCATGGGAGTAAATACACCACTCGCAGTGGTAGCCAGCCTCCAAGATACCATCTTGATAAGCCCAGTGTAAAATTGTCATGGCTGTGGCTTTCACAGTAGGGTGCTCTTTCTTTAGGTGCTTCTTCAGAGCATAGACGTAGGGAGATGTGTAGGAACAGTGCCTGCACTTCAGGGAACGCAGAGGTGTAGTGTTTTCAGGGTCTGGAGGAGCTGGGACAGCGGCAGACGAGGCGACGCTGGACTGAACCATCTGCGCTCGCTCACGTTGACTCCGGACGACTGCAGTGTGGCGGCGCACAAGGTCAGCGTTGGCCTTGGTCTCCCTGTGCTTTTTCTGATAGTGAATAAGCACGCCTTTTACAGTGCGGTTGCCGTAATCACAGTGCTGGCAAAAGAACAGCTCATCCTCGCCTTTCTCGCCACTTCCGGGTTTGGGGCTCGAGTTATTAGATCCGTCGTGACCGTTATTTTGAAACTGCTTCATAAACTGCTTGGGTGCTGCAATCTGTAGCTCATCCATGAGCTTCATCAATCCAGGGGTAGGAGCGCCATGTTTGATGTATTTCGCTGTCACTTTCACCTCCGGGTGTCTTTTCTGATAATGGACCAAAACACCAACAACAGATCTGTTGCTGTACACGCAGTGCTTGCAGTAATACATTTCTTCATCTGATCCATAAACTGCTGCACTTGATTGTTTTGGAGTCGAAGACATGCTGGTGTTAAACGAAGAGTTGGCTACAGGCTGTGACTGATCCACTGAGATGACCTTCATGGTTTTCTGTATACGGAAATAAGACGCCTTTTGCTCTGGGTGTTTCTTCTGGTAGTGGACCAGAACAGAGTGCATATTGGGGCTTGCAAAGGAGCACACGTCACAATCGTAGACGACAACATTGCTGCCTTCTTTGAGAGGTTCTGGGTCAGCGCTAGCTTCAGGGGATTTGGAAACCGCTTTCTGCACCGGGCTTGAGGTGGACCTGGGCATCGAAGTGGGAGAGTTAAAATTTTTCGGTCCTGAATTGAGTATTTCCCTCAGAGTCTGTGATTCACTGCTTTTGTGGGACTGCTCTACAATATAGCTGGAAAAGATCATGGCGTTGTTGATTTTCACGGTGGGGTGCATTCTTTGGTAATGGGGCATTAGGCTCCTCACGTTAGGGCTCGTGTACGAACAAAACCGGCACATGTATAAGAGATGGGGCTGGTTGAAGTTGAGCACATTGCTTGCTTCAGGGTGGTGGTCCATGTAGTGTTGGTGCAGATCGTTGTAATTTGTGTATTCGATGTAGCACTCTAAGCAGCGGAAGACTGCACTCTGGTCTTCAGGGTCCAGGATGTACTTAAAACTAAACTTGATGTAAGGGTGCATCCTCTGGTAATGGGTGCTGACGCTACGAGCCGACTTGTTGTGGTAATCACAGTGTTTGCAGTAGAAGCGTGTAATTCCAGGATCCTCTGAATATTCCATGTTCTCTTGGATAGCACTGTCACTGGCATCAGCGGAGATATTTTCACTATCGTCCGAGAGAGTCAGCGATATGGGGATGTTTCTAGGCTTGGACCTAGGGTTGCTTTTTCTTTTCCCTATTCTGCTGCCCTCATTAGAGCTGGCAGAGTCTCTTGCATAAAGCTGCTGTGTGTTGTAAGCAAAGACAGAGTTGTTTTCATTGTTTCTCCCCTCATCAGCGCTGGCATGATTTTCTCCCGCGTCTTCATCATCCATGTCATCCAGATTAATGACGGTGTCCTGCTGGCTTTGGCTTATCTTGCTTTGAAGGTTACTGGCAATTTCATCAATTCTGGTTCTCTTTTTGACTGAGGACAAATCCAAAGGCAAGTCATTAATGGACTTCCTGGCTCTTTTCCCTGTTACTAAGGGCTTTTTGGTGGCAAGCCCTAAAATGGGGGTCTGGGTTTTTTGTAGGAAGATTGGAGAAGCATCTACTTCAGAGTCTGGCTGGTCAGACAGCTGGGCTTCAAAGACAGTGGAGTCGAGGTCATCACAGTAGGAATGCTTATGCTGCTGGTGGACCCTCAGACCTTTCAGGGTGGTGGTGGAGAAGCTGCAGAGGGTGCAGCGGTGAGGGTTCTGCTGGTCATTTGGTGTGCTGGTTGTCTTTTTCCCATTGACTTTAGAACTCACGTTACCCTCATTAACTGGCTCTGCTGCGCTGTCATTCTGAGGTCCTGGGCTATCACCTGTCAGGTCCAAGGTTTCTAAATCTGAAAAATTGTGGCTCTGTTTGTGTGTGCCTAGTTTCAGAGGGCTGGTGCAAATAAATGGGCACTCATCGCATTTGTACACCGTGGCTTTTCCAGACAGGTGAATATTTTCAATGTGGCGGGAGATGCTCCGCCTGTGCATGGTGAGGAAGGAGCAGAATGGGCACTGAAATCGGTTCATGTACTTTCTGAAGGGAATTCCTTTAGTTTCCAATAATTTATTATCTTCATCTGTTAATAGCTGCTTTGCATCTGCGGACAGGGTTCCAGTGTAGCTGGGATCGTCCATATCACCCAGCTCTTCGTCGTCGTCATCGTCCTCTAAGCTGCTCCTCGAGTCTTCCTCATTGAGTAGGTTGGTGTCCATAGCTATCGCACTGTTGGGGACATCGGATGATGCAAACCTCTTGGATAGGATAGAAGAACCTGTGCTGTTGGGTGTAACTGCACTTATCTGTGCATATTGAAAGGATGAGATCTCTGAGGTGGACTTCTCCCCTGTGTTTTCTGGTGTTTTTGCTACAGACTCCTCCTTTCCGCTAACATTAGCACGGGAAGAGGAGGGAGAATCCGGTTTGGGGGAGCTTGCACTTGCCTGCTCTTCCACCTCCGCAATGCAGGAAACTATCTTGACCTTGTCACTGTGCTCCTTCACCACATGATTGGTCCAGCTGTCCTTCTGGTTGGTCTGATAGTCACACCACTCGCAGGCAAACGTTCCCTTCATGAGTTCAGTAGCAGAGTCCGATTTCTCACCGCTTTCATTGCACTCCGGGGGATCTCCAGCACTATCCGAAGGAACTTTGTTGTGATACATTAGTTGGTGTTTCATTATCCGTGCTTTCCTTGGGGACTTATATGTGCAATACTGACAGGAATACACTTTTGAATGGTCACTGTGCATTATGACAGTGTAGCTGGGCTGCTTTGCAGTCTTTGAGGAGACACTTGCATCCGAATCTGGCTCTATGACATTATGCACCTTTTTGGTGTGGTTTCTTAAGAAAGACTTTGATCTGAAGTAACGGACACAGAACTTGCACTGATAAAACTGCAGATGAGTTTCAGCTGTTGGCTTTTGTGATGTTTGGTTGGGACTGTCAGTAGAGTTGGGGCCTAAAAAGAAAGAAAAAGAAAGAAAAGAGAAAGATTATTAGACACATGCTGGAAAACAGTAAATTATTTTGTTGTAATTTCTTTCCCTTTCTGTTGTTTCTGCTGATAAAGTCCATCCACAACTCTTTACATTACCCAACTTCGTAAAATGTATGATCACCTTACTTTGTAGACTTCTTTATAACAGACACAGACATGATCCTAATCCTCAACAAAACAACAGCAACATCTAAATGAATGTGGTAGGCATACTCATTCCAGATTTAGGAGGCGTATAATCCTTGTCATCTTTATCATCATAGTCCTCTTCTTCCTCCTCGTCTTCATCTTCATCTTTCAGGGAATCAGACTCATCTGCATCTGCAGGCTGCAGAAAAACAGTGTGCACTTCCTGTATGTGAGTCTTCAAGTCGTCGTATGACTCGGCTCGGAAGTCACAGCCATCACATTGCAACACCTCCATTATTAAAACTGGGGAGAACTCCCTGGAAAATCAGGGAAACCTGCAAAACACAAAGAGAGAAAATCATGAGGACACAGAACCTTTTTTAAGAAAAGCCAAAGTAATATAAAACAATCGAGCTGACACTTTCACACGTGAGGTCAGGGCCCGAATTTTGTCAGACTCAGAGAAAGTATATACAGAGAGAGTCCAGTCCTAGACTTCAGGGCTGTCATCACCCTGTTCAGTGCATTAAACATGCTGTTCCATAAAAAATGAGCTCAGTGATGATCTGATATGATTATCAGTGATGATTACTGCTCCTTGAGCAAAGAATAATCAGGTGCAGGAAGGTACACACACCTTCACCAAATAACAACACTACGAAAAAAAAAAAAAAAAAAAAAAAAAAAGAACAGATGCTTATGTGTATCAGCTCAAAAGATATGCTCCAAATGCAAACCCTAATTTCATAGCTTAAAGGACTCAACCTAATAGAACCTCCTTTCCATTTTCACCTGTTACACTGTGAGGGGAAATGTATTGGATAAAGTGCCGCCTTTGAATGCACCTTTCAGGACTGCTTTGAAATGACACAATTAAAGGACCAAAATCAATCGAAATGCCACCGAATTATTATTTTTTAAAAAGCAAAAAAACTGCAATAAAACAAGTACAGATAACAAAAAACAAACCCCAAAAAAGACACCCCCCACCCCCCCCAAAAAAACCCAAAGCAACAACAACCCAAAACCCCACAAGAAGCAAAGAAATAAAAAATTAATCTGTTCTCCTTTTGATAAAAAACCCGCACGGATCAAGCGCCATAAATTCACATACAAATATTATCTATCGCTAAAATGACAGGAGATGACACAAAGCAAACAAAACATGACACAGAGGCAAATCAGCAGTCGCCGATGTTATTCTGAATACTAAGAAGGTTCCTTTTTTTTTTTTTTTTTTTTTTTGCATAGCATCATTCCAAGAACAATGGAGGGACTGAGGAGGGATTATGGGCTGATTTGTCCCATTTTTATTACCTTGGGATAAGCAACAGCTGGAGAGCAGCTCCACAGCTCAGTATTTAGAGCAGACTATTCCATCAGATTGTATCAACTGCTCTGAAATAAGATTGAATGAATCAACTAAGAAATGATGGCTTTATGTCTTTGGGCTTCTCTGTAGTTTGGACATAGCCAGTAAAATGAAAGCTGACGGCGTGGCCGTTATTTCAAATCTCTGTCATTGTGGCTCTCTGATCACCAGCAGTGATTTCCCCCCCCCCCCTCAAAACTACAAAAAACATGTAGCTGGCATTGGTTTTTGAAGAGCTGGTTAAAAGGGCAAAGTTTACAGCCTTTACTCTAGAATTAAAACACATTCAATCTGATTTTTTCTCCTGAACGCGGCAAATTAAATGACAGCAAAGTTTTTCTCTAACATGTTACAATTTTTAGGATGAGCTTCAAAGTGGGTTCATCTTTTCAGTAAATGTAACTAATATGTGAGCTATATGGTGTTATGGTCCACATAACCCCAGAAAATCTGAGATTCTTTTTTAATATACAAGTATGGTTCATTCCATAAATGCCTGAATACTGTGGGCAGATAAGGTTAAAACTGAGGTTTACTACCAGAATAAGTGTGCTTGGTGTTTGAAAAGGCAGCAATTGATTTAACAAAGAAAAGGCTGTGTGTCAGCACACGTAGACGGGAAAAACGGAAGAATTCGTCCATGAACTACTTCTGCTTTCATAAAACACAAGCTGAAGCTTTTGTCCTTTAACATGATCGCAAAATCTGTGGAGCAGATCTTAACATGAAACATCTCAGAACCTGAAATGACAAAGAAAGGATTTCTAAAATCAAAAGACAGAAAACTTGTGACAAAGCTGAGAAACTGAGATAAACAGACCGTTTATCTCAGTTTCTCACTTATTAAAAAATAACTAGTTTTAATAAGTGAGCAAATAAAAGCAAACTATGCCACAAATCGACGGTTACATTACATTACTTTGGTACTAAATCAGCACCTCTGTGGCCTGATTTCAACAGGAACTGTATAATTTGAATTTACCTAAGTTGACATCTTTGGCAAGTTTCCCAACCAAACTGCTTGTGTCCAAGGACAGGGCACACAAAAAACACACAACCAACAAATGTCTAACAAGTATGGATGAGTAAGGTTGTGGTGTGGGAGTCTTTAGGTTTGTTCAACACAACCGGCATGGAGCCGTTTCACAGAACAAGACACACCCTGCTGTGCAAACAGCAGCTCCTCATGCTGTTTCTATATTTCAGGATGATTACACCTTCAAACCAAAAAGAGTTTCATGAAAAGTACCTGGAACATTTCAGGATGGATTAAAGCACCTCTGAAAGCACAGGTGGCCCTTCCTCACTGCCTGCTTGATGAAGTGCGATGAGTTCCCTTTGTTTTTCTACAGCACTGCATGTCCGCAGGATGGATAAAAAAAAATGAAAAAAAAAAACCCCACACACACGGGAAGTTGTGCACACAAGTGGTATGTACACAAATGAACACCAAACACAAACACACTTTACGTACACTGCACGCCACTTCTGCTCGAATCTGTTAAAAGTGGAAGAGGTGAGAAGCCCCAGACTGTAACAACAGTGCTCTTTTGCACAATTTATAATTTTTTTTCCTGTCTTTATTGTACAACTTTGCAGTTTAATAATGACGAATGACAAGTGACGTTCCCCACACTACTCCCTGGCTCGATTCACAAATGGACGTCAGGGTTACAATGGACTGTATGCCCGTGTCTGACATCCCAGGAAGACTACTTTGGTATGCATTGAGTTAAATGTAACCCTTTTGGTCTTACCAACGGAAAAACATTTTCAAGCTGAAAATCAAGCCTCTTTTCCAAGACCCACTTCTTTGCAATGACTATTCATTTGTTTTCTATTAGGCGACGGCCAAAATGTTTTGAATATATTCAAAGAAGATTAATGATTCACACTTCCAGTGTGACCCTTGTTGATCCCTTGTTGTTTTAATAAAATAAATAAATAAAAGAAAATAGTCTACACTGCACTGTTCTTGGATGTCTGGAATATGACTAAATCCTATCTTACTGCTGTACTTTTTGTCATTGAAAGAAATAAAAATATATGACTGGCACAAAATATATAGTATCTCATAAACCTAAAGCCTTGAATCTAAAAAATTTTAAAGCAAAAAAAACAATATAAAAACAAATAGACTAGTAAAATATTAATCTGCTTAGGCCTGTTCATTTGAATGCTGCAGTGCATTAAATGTCTACAACACGACTAAATTAGACCAAGAACACCACAGTTGAAATTTGTGGGCGTGGGTCTGGAACAGATGACTAAACACCGAAATCAGGTCATGTCAACTAGCGATGTACTTTGGAAAAAAACCAAGACAAGTACTGTTAACCAAGTATTTAGAACAACGTGAATTTAAAAAATAAAGCACAGTCGAATCGTGCCTTCACCAGATGGAAAAACCATTCATGGACACTTCATCTGAAAGTAGATATCAGCAGCCAGAGATAAGACATCCGAAGCAACATTAGTAGCCTACAAATGATCACTAAACGCTCCACGATGTGAAACCATAGAAAATCAAAAAACGGACCTGTCTTTCAGGTCTTAAATGTTACGGCAAAGCAGAAGCGCCTTAAACCTGCTTTATTAACAGCCACTAGGGGGCGATACACATGGTTACAAAAAGACATCCAGTTCTATGTCTGACTGTAAACCTGCTCTTACAGACTTTATAGACCCAGTCTCTCATTTCAAGTCATACAGATTTTGTTTTTCTTACAAAAAGTTCATATTATATTAAGATTTATCAAAGCCTTCATTGCACAGGCATTATTGCATGCAACTACCTGACAAGTACCAGTTGCGAGAAAAAGTAGCACTCACGAAGGCCAACAGACTGGTCAGTGACCCTCTGGTAACCTGGATACTAGGGACCAATGGGCACAATTAGTGGTCAGTGGTTGCTGGCAGTGGTAATATTAAGTTGGTTCACAAAGAGGTATACGAAACCACACCACAAACCTCTACACAATTGCTTTGGTAGCAGGTTGCACCAGTTGCCTGTGTGGAAGATGCAGATTTTCTTGCCAGCCAGTTGCAAAGGTCGCGCCAAGTGGAAACGTGAAGAGTACAATGCAAATCAGAAATGGAAGCTGTACGCTATTAAAGTAAAAGTTGCGCCTTTGGAAATGTTTTAGCAGTAAGGTACAGCTTTTACCTTGAAGGTGAATTTTCTGTGAAACTTATAAGCAAGTGTTTGCAGACAAGTCTGCATCTTCCATACAAACTACCTGCAATCACAGCACTGGTTACCATCTCTATGGTTTATAGGACGTTAGCCAACAAGGAAGCAGTTTTACACTCAGGCCTGCCCGCTACATCCATCTTGCATACAGTGTGTGTATGGAACTGAGAGGGAAATAAAAAGCAATACACAATCACCCTATATTAACCTGTGTTAAGTGGAGAATTACACTTATTTTAGGAAAGGTCCAAAAAACCATTTGTTGCTATTGGGTTTTTCACACACCCCCCACCACCCTATTCATGAGTTCAATTCTGAAATAACAACAATTGAAAAAAGAAAAAAAAAGAAAAAAAAACTAGTATAAAGTATTTTAAGTGAAGAAAAAAAAAATACTTCCAGTGTAACTGAACTACTAGAAGAAAAAAAAGAATTATACTTATTCTACTTATATTTATTATGTCAGGTTTAAGTTGGATAGCTATCTGTGAAATGTAGTTTCAGTAACACTATCGTTTTCAGTCCCCCCACTCTCACTCCCACTGCAATTCAAATGAGATCCAGCCAGAGACAGTTGGGAATCCTACCGTGCTTCCCACACCCAACTGACCAGCCAGTGGAGTCCTCCACGAGAGCCAGCCAAACTGCCAGCATGTCCCTGAGCAACCAGGGGAGCCATTGTTGTTCAGGGTCAGGTTACAACTTCACCACGTGGCCCCACCCTGCTCTCTTGGCAGTTCACTGCTGTTTTGAACAAAGTTGTCTCCTAA